TTGCAATTGTTAAAGAGCCAGCAAAGCGTCCGAGACGACGGCTAGCCGTTTCCATTTTCGAGGCTCGGAAGAAAGAAAGGAAGCAAAGTGGTTGTATACTTGCGTGAAACCGGGCAAAAAGGGGAGAGACTAACTTCTTGAGAGCGGCAATGATGTACATGCTCTTGGGCATCAGAAGAGAGACCTGCTCCGTGAGGACGGCATGAACGATCTTCTTGGCGACCTGACGTGGATCGAGGATTGGAAGCAGTCTTGGCCACCTGCGGAACACCACAAGACAGGGGTCAAAAAGCTCCCTTGCCGCTTTGGCCAAAGTGAGCGAGGTCACCGTTCTGCCCACTACGAGCGCAGCGCCATCCACTTACTACTCCTTACTACCCCCCCCGCCCCACCCCCACTTTCACTAATATGGATCGTCCTCTGGGTGACGATTGTTTGGAGAGCATTGGAGCGTGAGCCGCCGCCGCCGCCAGCGCATTGACTTCAAAATCAGGCGCAAGGCGAGCGCCGGCGGGCTCCGCAGAGCAGCTCCAAAGAAAGAAGGCGTGGCCACTGTGAAGACACCTACTTTGTTTGACATCCATCGAACATTCCGGTGTTAATGAAGTAAGGGCAAACGATGGTGGTCTTGATGCCGTCTTTGCCACTCGCCAGGAGCTCCAGACCCACCGATTCCGCAAAACCGACTGCTGCAAACTTGCTCGCACAGTAGTCTGCAAGGATTGGACAAGAAAGCGCAGGTCACCAAAAGAGCAACAAGAAAAGAAATCGGCCCTCAAACGGAGGACACGGCGGTCAGTTGCTCCTTTCAAACATTCCGTTCGCACGGCAACTCAACGTTTCAATTTCTCTTGTGTAAGGAGATTAGGAAAATACAGCTTGGGTGCTTTATTTATTGTTATTTTTTAATCATTATATGCTGTGCGTCGAAAGGGAGAAAGCAAAGCATTATTCCTCGCACACAAAGCTTCGAGGGAACATTGTCCCCCCCCCACCCCGCAAAAAACAAAAAAAAAACCACTTTCATGAAAATTGAAAAAAACTCCCATCCAATGGCAGACAGTGGACAGCTGCGGAGCATTTATGACACCAATGATTTGTTGATTTCAACAGAGCAACTGCATCACCGCCGCTCGCTGCCAGCAGCCACGCGTTTGATGAGCTCGCACCGAGCTCGAAAAGAGACATCTGTGAACTCTTGGCGCAGTCGTGCTGAAGTAACTGGCGCGCACGCACGTCACTTTGCTCGCAGGAGAGCACACCTCACGGTGACTTCCGCCTCCAACTGCACTATGTCGAAAATACATTCGGACAAGACGACGGCGGACATGTCCAAATCCAATAGCCATCGTCCACTGTTTTTTGGTCGCCGCGCTCGACCGATTCCAAACAACAACAGCCAAATGACGGCTGAACACGGTCGAATCCATCTGTTCACTAAAGTCGAGTTGATGATTACACGAGGAGTCATTTGAACGATAAGCCATCGATCAAAGGGTAGAATGCTGACGTTGCGTCCGTCTGCCCGAGCATCGGGACGTCGGCCGGAGAACAAAGTGCGAAGCGAAAGACCGCGTTGGCATATGGATGACCCGACGCCAGCAAAGGCGCACCGCCGAACCGCTGGCATACAGGACACATACCTGATGTCACCTTCTTCTACATAGCCGCCGCAGGTGTGTGTGTGTGTGTGTGTGTGTGTTGCGCACACGTGCCAGTCGCGGTAATCCATTTTTACCGCGTCAATATGAATCTTCATCAAATATCGAAGTGATCCAATGGAAGAGCCTCATCGTAAGGGATGCCTTTGGATAAGTCCTCTTCACTCGGAATGCTAACCTTTACTTTGAGTGCAGTTTTTCCGAGGTCAGATCATGTCACGGCTAATCATCCTGTCAGTTTTCACTTTCTAAATCAATCAATACAAAAGTCTCGAAAAATTCAAATCAAATAGCGGATGAGTTTCAACCGACTGCGGCGCCTGACCTGCATCAGCGGACGCTGTTAGCGATCAGCAGTCTGCAAATTGGACCGCGCCGTCACTGACCCAAAATGGCGGAAACCTCGAGATGGTGAAATGAAGTCGACGCCTTAAAGCTCGTGTTCGCCTTCCTGAATGACACCGGCTCAAATTAGCGCGTCGGTGCTTGTGCTGTTCTGCTCATCGCAAACGACCGATTGGCGGCTGTCAAGGGTTTGACGGCTTGTTTTGCCGTTCACTTGTGTGCTAACCACCGAGGTACTGAAAACGCGGGCACCTTTGCGGTCGTAATGGCGCCAAGTGAAAAGCAAGGTTCAAAGCTTGGGGATCGTTTTGAACTTAGAAGCCCAAATGAGGTTTGTGGGGAGTGGCTGGCAAATGGGTGCCACGTCAGTGCCATCTGAACACACGTTAAAAAAAAAAAAAAACGTAGCGCCAACGACTGAAATGGGATCATGTACCTGCCAATCCGTTGATGCTGATGAGTCCTGCGGAGCTGGCAATGCTGACCAGATGGCCGTGATTATTTGCCATCATGGCGGGAAGGAAGGCCTTGTAGGTCTGTCGGGGCAAATAGACAAAAAAAATAAACAAACAAAAATCTACTACTAATGTGTGTATGAGTCTGTGCAATTTTCTACAAGCGACACATAAGCGAGCTCTCGTCAGCCTGCGCTTAAAAGTGTCAAGTGAGGTTCAAGACTGACCCAGAAGTGCGCCATGACGTTGACTTCCATTGTCTTTTCGATGAGGGAATCGGGAGCATCCATGAACTTTTTTCCAGTCACGATGCCAGCATTATTGACGAGAATGCTGACGTCACCCACCTCCCGCTTTACCTGAAGAGGGGGCGGGGGGGGGGTGAGTCAAGGTTGCATTGCGTTAGGCTGATGACATGCATTCCCACTCTCCGAGCACCAATCGGATAGAAATGAAATATAACACCAATGACACATCCAAAGGTTTTTGATAAAGAAATGAGTGTTCTTCCAGTTCAGGAGTTGTCGTAGTCAAAGCACCAGCAGCAGCCGCCATCGTTGAGAAATTTCAAATGAACATTCAGCATTTTGGCATACTGTGAATTTTGGCGGGGGAAATTTTGATGATTTGGGGGGTTCTAGAGAAATGGAGGTTTTTGTACAGGGAGTGAAATGGCCTTTTGGGGGGACGTTTCTGGAAAAAAAAAATCTTTCTTTTAATAACTAAAAAAAAAAATGGAACTGTGTATGGAATACCTGCATGCCTCGTGACTAATTCATTGATGAATTCAATCATGAAGAAAATAAAGCCATGGTTGCAATATTTTGCTTTGTCCACCATAAGGGGTGTACTTTCAAAAACCTAAAAGCACTAAATAGTGTCATTTGAAATGCAGAGACTTTAGTACCCCGAAAAAAGGGGGCGTGGTGGGTGTATGCTCCATTCCTTACCTGGTCCGCCACTCTGTAAACCTCATTTTTGTCACTACAGTCACAAATATAGTAGTGAACTCGAAGGGCCCCGTTGCTCTTGGCCAATCTGGCCGTCTCCTTCATGCCTTCCTGGTTGATGTCCCACAACACCACAGTCGTACTGTGACTCGCAAACTCCTGAGCCATCAGGCGGCCGATTCCGCTGCCGGCCCCCGTGATGAGAACGACCTCACCGGATATGTTCTTCCTCTTTTTGGGTAGAAAGCAATGAAGGAAGGCTTCCACGTTGTACCAGATGGACAACAGGATGACTCGGAGGGTTTCCAGAAAAAAATTCATTGTTAGCTGAGGCACCGGTCTAAAACATAAACAGGACAAAAAGAGTGAGAGAATAAGTCACAAAATGACAAGTTCAATTTGTTTTTCGAGGGAGCCATACTTTTCTGATAGTCGTTTGGAAGACATTTTACTTTTTTTTGGGGGGGGATAGAATTAATTAGCGCAAAAATAACATGACCAAGAAAAAAAAAAGGTCAAAGTCTACTCGCAAGTTTAGTTTCAGAAATAATAATGAATAAGGGCGCCTCCGAATAAATGACTGTGTCAATAACGGAGGTGCAATTATTTATTTATTTTTTTAAACCAACGCAAAACCGTTTTAGATGTTGACAAGAGACCGGCGGCGTCGGGACTCCTCCGAAAGTTTGCGCTTCGACGTCCACAACACATGAACGCCCCGACCGAAGCCCTCTTTTGTTCCGCTCGGACTGTTATGTCAGAGGCAAATGTACACAAGGCGGATGATGGCTCGCTTCTCGGAAAAGCCCAAATCCACACGCGGATCAAATAACAAGTACGTGGAAGTCCGCGAACGTACCGCGGGGGCTCGTACGGCAGAGACAGGCGCGGGACCGCAAACTGATCTGCAGGGACACGCCGCCGCGACTCCAAGTCGCCTCTGGGAGTGCGAAAGCTTAACTTCCGGATGTGACATCACCGAAAGGGCAGCGGAGGCAACTCGACCGAGAGGGCGGTGCCGGGCGGGTCACGTGACGCGCCACTAACCCCGGTGCGAAAGCGCCCCTCGAAATCGACGTTCGACTTCGTCTTCCGTCCACGAAAAGCACACCGACGGCCGCCGACTCCCGCCGTTCGCCACTTTGCTCTCTTTTGGCCAACGTCCGACACTCGTCACGTGACACCGCAAGTCGATTGATGCAGCGCCGCGGCCGCCCCCTCCCCCGCCAGCGCAGCGGTCAGCCGGGAACCCGGTTGCCATTGGCCCAAAAGATGAGTCCATGTGTCCTTGAGATAATACGTCATCCTTTATTCTTTGAATCCCCAACAAATGACACGCAAAAAGATGCGCCTGGATGAATTGCCAGCTCGATTTATCCTTGGACGTTTTGTGAAACCAACTTGCCCCGTACTGAGAGGGAACGCTTGGTGCGTGTTCGACCGGGCCCGAGTAGACTCCGCTTCACGCCCCCTCATAAAATGTCAAGACAGCGCGTCATGTGACTTCTTTACAGCAAGCAAGGCAAATTAGCCACGGAGATGTCGACATGGAGTGAAGAGTCATCAAAATAGACAGAAGGCAACGCAACTTCAATCAACACAGTATTTTAATAAATAATGTCTTCAACTTGAAAACAGGCAGATATCGATTTTGACAGAATGCATATATTTCATGTCACCACTGGAGCCACTGAAGCAACGAAGTCGGCTTTCTACAAAGCCAGAAGGTGGTGGAAGCTTGATGAGATGGGATTCGAGGAGCCAGAAGTGAAGGGGGCTTTGTGGGGTTGAGTCCTCCTAGTCCATGAAGCCCCCATACCTTTTGTGAAGCTCGCCATTTTGCCACCCGCGCTTTGATACTCCCCCATTCTTGTTGCCGTCCACCAGCCACTCGGGCCTGCCCACCCGCCTCATGAAGCCTCCGTAACGCTTCCTCAAGCCGCGATCTAACACCGCCTCCAGCAGATCGCCCGGATTTCGCCCGTCATCTCGCGCGTCATCTCCCCCTTGTTCGCCATCCTCATCGCCCCCCTCTCTGCTCTGCTCGGGCACCGTATTCAGAACCTTCAGGATTTCGAGACGGATTTTTTCTTCCTCATCTCGCTTTGCGGAATCATCTGGCAAGCCTTCAGAAAACGAGCGGCGAGACATGAAGCCCCCGTAGCGCTTCATAAAGCCACCGTATTTCTTGGCCAGCCGGTGTCCCGCTGACATCGCATCTCGGTCATTGCTCGGAATGAGGCCGGCTGCTTCCGGTTCTTCTTGTGGCCGTAGGTCCCCATCCGAAGGAATAGGATTTCCTCCCTCTAGTAGGATGTCCCAGCAGAGGCGGAGCTTCTCACGGTCCACCTCACCATCACACTCAAGCGAGCATGTCTGGGGGGGAAAAAAAATGGAAATCAATTGATCAATCAATCACCGATCAACACACACAAAGGGCCCTGTTTTGGTTTTCTGCCCAAGTCGAGTGCAAAGTCGAACTTGGCGCGTCTTTTGGCACTTTGCTAGACTGCGCATTGCCGGATGGAACGGAGCTGAATCCCCGGCAATGGAAGCGGGGCCCCTCGTCGACATTGAAATCGCGGCAGTCGCCGTGCTTGACATGACGGAAGCCGAAATCGACCCATCGGTTTCCTTGCGTGACATTGGCACGTCAACTGCAAGGTCTCCCCTTGCTCGTGATATAGTCGGCCGCGCATGTGTCGCCCCCCCAAAAGTCAGTCATGGAGCTGCAATTAAGATGACCATCACGACAATTGGTTCGACAAATTGCTATCTGCAATGATTCAGAAGGACGTTGTTGTCATATTTGTGAATGAAATACAAAGAGACCCATCGCGTATGTCCGCCGAATCGCTCGGCCTGCACCTCGTTCAAATAGGCCCGCAACAAAAATGGCGTGCCGCCACCTCCGCCACCATCTCGACCTGCTTTGAGGGGTCGCACAAATTTGTGTTCAGCTTTATTTCCTTCATCCTCAGCTGCGTTTGGTGATAGTGACGCATAGGTGAGCCCCTTTGGCTCTCGCCGCTTTGCTTCTGTTCCTCGGCATTGGGAGAAAAGGGAACTCTCCAAGACGACGTTCATTAGCGTTGCGCACATTTGCGCCGGAGCTACGCAAGCCGGGTCATTTCCAGTCCAGATACTTGCGAGTCCCGTGACTCCATAATTTGCCGGAAGGGTTCACTTTTATTACAACTGCATTGTTTGGGAAATGTGTTGTATTTATTTGCCCCGCCCGCACGGAGCAAGTAGGCAACCGCCAGGCAGTGTCTGCAAATCAAATCTGGCCATTTTGTGTTTGACTTTCAGTCTGGCTGAAGGGGACAGGCTAACCTAAGCTTGCATATGTGTTAATAAAACTGTTTTTTTCCCCCAAAATATTGTGGAATAGTAGAGTTATGGTCTCTCTCTCTCTCTCTCTCTCTCTCTCTCTCTCTCTCTCTCTCTCTATGTATATATATATAGATAAAATTCCAGAGTAAAAAGCCATGTTTTTGTTTTTGTT